TTTTTTTTTTTTTTTAATAGACTTTGTTTCTTAGAGTAACTTTGTTTATAGAGAAATTGTGCAAACAGTACTGTGTTCCCGTATATTCCTTCTTCCTACACAGTTTCTCCTGTTAACATCTTGCATTCCTGAGGTACATTTGTTACAACTGAGGAACCAATGTTTTGTTGTTAGCTTCCGTTGAATTGATCTGCCTGGTTCTGTGCCATCCCCATGATTGGTTGTGGGTCGGACGTTGTGACCCATGGGGGTTTTTCATTGGCTGCATTTTAGAAGTAGATTGTCAGGACTTTCTTCCTAGTCCATTTTAGTCTGGAAGCTCTGCTAAAAGTTGTTCAGCATCATAGTAACACCCAAGCCTCCACTGACAGACTACACATGAGGTGCATTGACCTGGAATTGAACCAGGTCTCCTGCACAGAAGGCGAGAATTCTACCACTGAACCACCAATGTCCCGATGAACCAATATTGATACATTATTATTAACTAAGTCCATGGTTTCCATTAGCATTCATTCTTTGTTTTGTATGTTCCTATGGGTTTTGACAAATGCTTAATGTCATGTGTCCACCATTAAAGTATCATGCACTGTGCTCTCACTGTTTTTCCAGAGCTGTTTTCCAAGCCAAAGCTGGAATCTTCTGCCACACGTCTGGATGAGGGTGAAAACCTAAGCCTATGGTGCATCATCCCAGGGGCACCACCAGCCAACTTCACCATCCAGAAGGGAAACATGACTGTGACGGAGGCTCAGAATTTCACCAAGGTCGTCTCAGAAAGAGACAGTGGGACATATACCTGCACTGCAGGCATAGGCAATGTGGTCAAGAGAAGTAACAAGGTCCAGATCACCGTGTGTGGTAAGTATGACCTCGCTGGCTGACAGCCCAGTGTAAAATGAGAGAAAGAAGATTTATTGCCAGTAGCTACCCTTTCCATCTGAAGGCAGAGTAGACTTCAGCTAGGGCAAGACTGCAAGGGCAGGAGAGAGGGGTAGAATTAAGAGGCCAAACAGAAGTGAGAGGGTGTTCCTGGTCAAGGCACCAGAGAGGGGCAATACGAAGAAAACGTTATTGGCCAAAATCAAGGGCATGACTTGACTGTGGCTGCATGCTTATGATGTGGCCCATGATTGGCAAGATTTTGTCTGCTGGAGCAAAGTCCTGCCCCAAAAGCCAGGGAGGAAATGTTAAACTTTAAGCAGCTCTAAGTTCTAGTTTTTTTTTTTTAATCCATATCCTGCCCAACTGACCTCTGGTGGACAGAATGTAAGTACTAGGGCCACATAGGCCAGGCTTCTCCGACTTGAATGTCCAAACAAATCATCTAGGACCTGCTAGGGTACAGGTTCTGCTTATGTAGGTCACGAAAGGGCCAGATACTGCATTTCTGCCAAGTGCCTCAGTGCTTCTGCTGCTGCTAACCCCTGCATCACACTTCCGAGTACTGAGGTCCCAGATGGACATGGGACATCGGTCAAGCTGTCAGTATCATTGTTATTGTCCAGGCACGGTCCTGTACCTGTGGTTTTTCCAGCCAAGAAAAGTCTCCACTGAACCAGGAGTTTATGGCCTTTTGTCAATTCTCTGGTCATCTTGTTCAATAGGACATAATGCAAGAGATAAATACGGGTCGTGGTATTTTTTAATGTTTTTATTATTTTTGTTCTTAGGAGGTCATTTTGATTTATAAGCTTTATACATAAGTTAACTTCTACTAAAACAAAACTGGTAGAAGTCTTATCTCTTGAATCATGTATTTTACTGTTAAGAGACTGAGGCACGAAGAAGGATTTGTTGTAAAGTGTATTCTGTTTGGGTATTCGTTACACCTTTTTAAATTATTATTATGATTTTTCTGTGCTTTTTCTCAGTGTCAAAAAAGTCTCTGTGTGTATTTGTGTATGTGGGATATATGACACTATAAATATGTATTTATAGAGATATGATATAATGGATGGTGCAGGACCAGGCAGTGTTTCACTCTAGTGTACATGGGGTCACTATGACCCTGTGTACTGACTTGACAACAACTAACAACAGTGTTTTTCTTAAATTTGTATTATCCCATATTTTGTTTGAAGGAGGCCTGGTGGCACAGTGGTTAAGTGCTCAGCTGCTAATCAAAAGGCAGTGGTTCTAACCCACTGACAGCTCCGTAGGAAGAAGATGTGACAGTCTGCTTTAGTAAAGATTACAGCCTTGGAAACCCTATGCAGCAGTTCTATTGTGTTCTGTAGGGTCACTACGAGTGGGAATTGACTCAGTGGCAATGGCTATATTTTGTTTATAGCGTTTCTCTGTCTTTCTCTTCCTCTTCATAACACACATATGTTGCCTTTCATGCCCATAAACCAAAATACGAAACTCACTGCCATTGAGTCAATTCTGACTCATAGTGACCCCCACTGAGTTTCCTAGGCTGTAAATCTTAATGGAATCAGATCCCCCACCTTTCTTCTGTGAGGCGCCTGGTGGGTTTGAACTACCAACCTTTGCCTTAACTGCTACACCACCAGAGCTCCTTTTCCTTCCCGTAGGAGTCCTTGAAGGTAGATAAGGCAAGCAGGCATTTAAAATGCTGACGACAGAGAAAGCAAAGCCCAGAGCTTGGAGAACCTGGGGGCTGCGTGTTTCCCATCTGCTGTCAGTGCCGTTCAGATTGTTTCTCCCACTATCATTCCAGAAATGCTGTCCAAGCCCCGGATTTTTCACGACACCAGATCTGAGGTGATAAAAGGACAGATCATAGCGATCAGTTGCCAATCAATCAATGGAACCTCACCTATTTCTTATCACCTTTTAAAAGCAAGTAAAATTATAGAGAGCCTTCAAAAGAGTTCAAATGATCCCGCAGTATTCCAAGATAACCCAACAAAAGACGTGGAATACCAGTGTATTGTGGATAATTGCCACTCTCATGCTGAAATGATCAGCGAGGTCCTGAGGGTCAAGGTTATAGGTAAGTTGCTGTGCTATGAAAAAAAAAAAAAATGGGGGCTTGGGTTTTAGTTAACATATTTGAAGGCTTAGGGTTGCCCAGGGATTGGGGCTATAGAAGAAATGGGTGGTACGTCTGCAAAGTCCATAACCAAAATATGAGTCAAAGCAAGACTCAGTCCAGGTAAATGGATCCAGAAAGGATTCCGGGTCTATTGACATGATTCAAGGTGATCTTCTTTCGGGACCTTTGAACTGAACTGCTAAAAGATTAAAAGAGGGAAAGTGTCTGACTTCAGGGAGTGCTGAAGTCACATGCTGGGGTCTCCTCAGTGTCTGCTCCTCTTTAGATGCACTGCCAGGCATCCCTGTTCTCTGTTCTCTGTGCTGACCCTGCCAGGGTGGCTCTGCACTGTGCAGAATCTCCCAAGGCAGCAGCCTCACCAGACTTGCTGGCATTCACCTGGGAAGCTCAGACTCAGGAGAAACACATTATTGCCTTGGAGTGGATACGTTCCCTTGAGCCTCTACCTTGTGCTTCTCTGAAGGCACTATGAATGCCATTGCTAGCATTTCTTAAATGTTCTGCAACCTGTTGTGAGAAGCTTAACAAGGCTTCTTCCTCTACCACCTCCTCCTTCTCCTCATTTAATAACTGCTTGTCTGCATGTGCCACTGTGGACATCTCAAGCTGGATAGATTCCTGCCTCTCTGGATGCTTAGTCTAGGAGCAGCTACACTTTTCAACTTAATATTGACATATATATCTAGCACCTAAGTCTATGGAAATACAAAAAAGAAAAAAAGATATTTTCTTTGTTTTCAGTGATATAACAAGAAACACAGGAACAACCAATTAAGTAATAGAGAAATATTTGAATAGCCATGCAAACAGGCATAGAAGAAATGTTCCGAGGCAACACATGATTAATTGCCCTGTGAACTGTCCTTACAAGGATGGTGATAGGAACTTAAGGGACAGGAGGTATCATCAGACTTGAGTGGAAAAACTTCACCAAAGAGCTGTCTTAGGAGTCAGAGTTTGCCAGTGGGTGGGCAGAAAGTACTGGAGATGCCCTACCAGTCTTGTCAAGCACAGGAGCAAAAAGGTCTATGGAGCACTTCCAAAGACTAGGAACAAACCCAATGCCTGTAAACAAAGGTTATGAATAGACAATCATTGGATATAAGCTGAAAGAGTAGCTGAGCCCAACTGTGAAGGCATCAATGTCAGTCTTGGGGGTTTGGAGTTTGTCCTCTGTGCAATGAAGAAGAAGAGGATGAGAATGGGGGTCTCAGAATTCAGCCTGGTGGCTCTATCAGTGAGAGGGAGCAGAGACTGCAGACCTCAGGATATGTTCCAAGGCTGGTGCAGAAGTCCAGGGACAGTTGTGTATGTATCAGTGGCTAACATTTACTGAGTTCCATTTACTGAGTGTCCAGCTCTGTATGAAGTACTTTTAGTAAAATACTTCCATGAATACTTGCATTAACTGTAATACTTACAATAACTGGAAAAAGGAGAAAAACAGGATGAAAGCTGGAGAAGACAGTGGTCAAGGCCATTTCTTTGTAAGATCTAGAATACACCCCTCTGAAATAGACCCCCAAAACACATGTTAATGAAAGGATTTGATTAATCTTATACTCAAACAGAGTGGCCAGTAATACTTAGATAATAAGTAGAAGGAAGTGTCAGTAGAGTCTGGTGTTTAAGCAACATGTGAGGTTATTCTGGCCTAGTCAGGGGAGGGACAATGGAGAAGGTGGGTTGAGAGCAGTGACTTGAATGGGGAGCACCATCCAAACCCAAGTCCCAGGCTGGGAGGGAGGCTGACCATGACCAGTGGTTTGTCATGTTTCTTCTTGTGCCCCAATTCTTCTCTCAGTGCTAATCCATTTCCTACTTTTCAGCCCCAGTTGATGAGGTCAAGCTGACTATCCTGTTGAATGAGGACGTGGAGTCTGGGAAGGCAATTGTGCTTCGGTGCTCTGTGAATGAAGGGTCTGGTCCCATCACCTATAGGTTTTACAGAGAAAATGAGGGCAAGCCCTTCTTTCAAATCACTTTAAATGACACTCAGGCAATTTGGCATAAGCCACAGGCTAGCAGGGAGGAGGAGGGACTGTATTACTGCACAGCCTTCAACAGAGCCAACTCCACTAGAAGCGTTCCCCAAAGCAACACACTGACAGTCAGAGGTGAGTCGGGCTCCCAGCAGCCAGGTGCGGTGTGGGCTCCAAGGAGTGTAGCCAGAAATGCATCACTGTGTGTGGCTGGGAAATTAGTATATGTGGCTGAAGATGAGTAGCCAATGTCCTCTAGGCCACTTGGTTGCAAGTGACAGAAACCCACTCAAAGTAACTTAAGAGAAAGATTTTATTTTTATAAGGAATTATCAGTATTTCACAGTCTCAGTTCCAAGTTCTTGGCAGAAATATGCCAATTGCCTACCTGGGTCAACATCCACCCAGAATGCTCTGTGGCCAATAGGTTTGGTTTATGCAGAATGAACATGCTTAGGGGAGCCCTACAGAAGGAAAAGAGCTAAATAGACACTCAAAATGTGTACCCCAGCAAAGCTGTTTTGCTCCCTCCTCTAAGCATTAGATAACCTCTGTTTATAGCAGAAATAACTATTTCTGCACCAGTTATGAGTGCAGGGTCCGTGAGAGGGAGATACTAAGTTACAAGGACTATAAAAATTAGTCTTATCTGTTCTTAAATCAGGAAAAACCTATATATTTAAATTGTTTTCATTTCTAGTCTTCCTTGCCCCATGGAAGAAAGGACTTATTGCAGTGGTTGTCATCGGAGTGATAATTGCCACCTTGGTACTTGGGGCCAGATGCTATTTTCTGAAGAAAGCCAAGGGTGAGGACAGCTCTTTCCTTCCATTCTGACAGGTGGCCCTTGCCAGGAAACCGGCCATAGTTGGGTGGTGGCTCAGCTTCATGGAAGGTGGGGGGCTAGTCCTCTGCCCCAGTGGGAGTTGAGGAGATGTAACTGATAATGGTTGTTTTTCTCCGTGAGTTGCCATCTTGATAACCAATGATTTTGGCCTTGATTGGTGTGGAGCTCTTGTTGGCCTGAATTTCACGAGGCAAAAATGAAAAAGATTGCTTTCTAGTTGGGCAACCCAAGAAAGATAAATTAAGGGGAGAAGTGCATCTCCCGTGTGGTCAAAAGTTGTTGCTGTGTGTTTGGCCACACCTGGTCCTGCAAATGACAGAGTGATGAAGTTTGAGCTTCATAGAGACACCCATGGATACAGCCTACCCACTGAATGCCTCCCAATTCACCTGCCACTTGTGCCGTGATGTCTACCTTATGCTTAGAGTCAGCCAAGCATGGATGGGAAGCCAGGACCACCCATTGACACTTAGGAATCAAAATCCCTAGCCAGGGTCCAAAGGTACAATGTCAGTACCATACCCATTGTGGATGCAGAGGAACCCTGGAATTTTTCTGAGCATGAAGGCTGCAATCCCTCAGGGAGGACAAGCGTCAGAGCAGACTCCTTCATAAGGCTGACCCTGGCATTTGTCTCAGGCCAGCTTAGAATTAAAAGCAAAGGGTTTGATTTAGCCTTTGCCTTTGGAATTGTCTTGAATCAAATTGATGGCTGCCCACTCATCTGGCTAATCTGGTTCCAGTACCATTGTCTTTGTCCCATACCATATTCCACTAATGAAAGTCACTCCTGGCTAAAATAGGCAAAATGTCGTCTTTCTACGGAAATGATGTGAATCTCTTGGTTTAAGACCAAGAGAAGAACTACATTCTCTATTCCTTTCATTTTTCCTTTTTAGCGTGAACATATTTGGTTCTCTTTTCTCTCTCTTTATTGGTATTCAGTATTCAGGGAAAAGGTCAAATGTGATTGAAATTGAGTGTTCTGATCTGGTAGGACATGGATGTTTCATACTGATTTTGTTTTGTCTCTTTCTTTTTAAAGGCAAACAGATGCCAGTGGAGATGTCCAGGTCAGTGGACTTGTAAAAGTGTGTGTGTGTGTGTTTGGGGGGGGGGTGCTGCTTTGTGGCATGGACAGAGTTCTCTGCAGGGAGATTCTGGTCATTAGGCAGTTTTCAGTGGCTCTTGGTAAACTCACAAAAATAAAGGTCTGGGATTTGAGTGGTGTGTGTGTGTGTGGTATGAGTGTGTATATGAAAGAGAATGTGTATCTGAGAGAGAATTGTGTAGTGTGCCTGTGTGTACGAAAGAGAGTGTGTGTGTGTGTTTAAGTCTACAAGTATGTGTGTGTGTATATGTCTGTCTGTCTATGGAAGCTTGCCAGCTGTCCTGTCATGGGAAGGAATGGCTTTTTATGAGATCATGTCCTTCCTATATGAAAACACATGAAATCCCCTTTTTCTGATATAACTCTGATGGTAGTAGATGGAATTTTGAAAATGTGCTTACTTGGAAAAATAGATTTGGCAAATTTATATTGGTCTAAAATATTGGCCTTACGATTTGTATTATTCTGTGAAATCCAAACATCCAAAAGCATGAAAATGATTACTGTGTTCCTCAAGAGACACAGCAGCTTAGGTGAGGACCAGGGACTCCTAAGCACCTGATAAGGACTCCAGGTGTGAATGTTCCCTTTAGCCCTGACCCTTATTTTAACAGCAAAAAAAAAAAAAAAAAAAGTTATTGTCAAATAATCTTAGAGTTGAAAAAACTATGTCATTTCAAAAATAGATTTATATTATTTTTATTGTGATTTGGGTGAAAGTTTACAGAGCAAATTTGTTTTCCACTCAACAGTCCTTTACTGTAATCCTCACACTGTAACAGCATTCTTCTCACTTCCTCCTTATGTCTGCCTTCTTCCTTCCCATCCCCTCCCAACTTCCTAGCTCCGTCCCTGGCCAAATGCTGTCCTCTTGATGTCATATGCTTGATTGTTGTAATGAATGCATATCCTCCTGATATTACTGTTCCTCCTGATATTACCTTATTGGTCTATCTATCATCCGGCTGACAGTTGAGTCATGGGGGATAAGTTCAGTTCCTAGCTTGGAGGGTGTCTAAGGGCCATACTTTTAAGTGTTCCACCAGTCTTCATCAGACCAGTAAGCCTGGTCCTTTTTTTTCAAATGATTTTTAGCTTTGTTCCACATTTCCCCCACTCCATCCGGGACTTCTTATTGTGATCCCTTTCAGAGTGGTCAGCAGTGGTAGCCAGACACTATCTAGTGCTTCTGAGCTCAGGGTCATGGAGGCTGAGGTTCATGTGTTCCCTTAGTCCTTTGGACTAATTGTTTCCTGCATCTTTGATTTTCTTCACTCTTCTTTACTTTACTTTACCTATGGGGATAGACCAATGGTTATACCTTACA